AGACTTTAAATTTAAAAGTCAGAAGTTTCAGATTATAAATTAGAGAACGTTAACATATGGAAATATTTATTTATAGACTAAGAAGATGGCTTAACTCTCAGATAAGCATGAAAACCTATACCAGAAAGTACATAAAGATGTACATATTATATTCACTTCTCAAACTCATGTAGGAGAAAAATCTGGATGGGGCTGAGTCCAGCTGCCTACAACTTAAGTCATCCATTTCATATAAACTTCCCATAAATTTACTAAACATGCCATGACCTCCACCTTAAAATGATTTAGGTATGTTTGTATTTACTATCTGTATCAGATGGCTGTTATAACCGTATATAACTCTGACATCTAAAAACCGTCTTCTGAATTTATTTGTGACCAAATTGCCATTACTTATTCTTTAAGAAAACAGTGCCTTTTATTTTAAATTTTTATTCCTCCCTGTCATTTATCATCAGTATTTCTATTTATTGTGAGCTGCACTATTTCTCCACTCCCTTTCCATATCCCAGCCTTTACTGTGGCAGGCTCAACAAGTCATGTTTGCTTAGTTCTAGTGTGACAAGTCACCCACACCCTTCTCACAGACCCTCTGTATTTGCTCTAGTTTGAATTAATCTTTGTAGCCTGTAGTTTCAATTATTTGCATGCAATTTCAGATTTCTCACTATGACTTGAAAAATGGCATAAATACAGTGTTACCACTACATTCTACTATTGTATTTGCCCTTTCCCAGATGCATCATACTGATGTCAGCCTGTGATAGATCATTGCTCTCTCATCGTTAGCCATTTTTAACTAATGAGTAATTTTGTTCCAGTCTGCTTGATCAATAGTTTATGTTCTCATTTCCTTTCAATCTCTTTCTCCATATGTATACAGACACACACACATATCGATTCCTGAAATGCTTACATAGTTGAAAAGAGGGAACATAAAAATTGGAAACATGAAAATTGTACATTCATGGAAAAACTTTTCATAACATGTAATTCTTTAGCCACAGGAATCCTAATAAACACAAGCCAATAACATTCACTGTCAAAAGCATGAAACTTGTTTAAAAAAATTCATCTGATAACATCAAAATACATGCAAATTGCTACACTGAGTAGCTATGTTGTAAAACTCAAGGATGAGAAATGGGATATATAAGAGAAATTCAATAAAATCACGAGTGGCTCAATGCAAAAAATACCTGCTCTGGGTTCAAGACTGTCTTTGCCAAAGGTAGTTACTTTATCAAAATAAAGGTAAATTGTATCATAATTAAACCACGTTTTTATACAGTTTTCCATTTACTTCTACATGTTTAGTGGTTACCTCTTTCAAAAGCCTATTTAGACACCCTTTTATTTCAGAAATGATGAGCATAAACATCACAGAGAAGACACAGCAGACCCTCCCTCAATCAAAGAAGCATCAGAAAGGGCAAGTCACTACTCCTTGGCACAGACACATTATCTGCCCACCACAGACTGTATGATGGAAGGATCCTATCACAAATTCTTGAAGAGAGATGTCTTCTAGCAGTGTTCTGCATACTTCCCTCCTGGAATATGCTGCCAGCAGTTTAGACTTCCCTCAACATCAACCTACTGGGTAAGAGACTTCCATGATGCCTTGAAGAAAACAGGTAGCTTTTTAAAAGCAAACCCAAAATTCAACCACAGAAGAACGAGCAGCAGTAGTTTGGGAATGGCCATTGCTAATCTGAAAGGTTGAGGGATGAGTGAAGGGTGACGAGGAGGGAGAAGCATCACAAGGGACCTGATGGACCATCACATCTGAAGCAAAATTAATGCAAAGTAAAGTTTGGGGATTATTTCTATTTTCTACACTAATGTTTAACTTGTAATGAAGACATTTGGAAAATACTCAAATATCTTCAGCAACTGTTACCACTTTAGCTTAGGGCATTGTCCACAAGCAAGCATTAATATCGAATCATTCAGTATTTTTATCCACAAAAAAAGAAAGTTGAACTAGATATTCTATTACCTGCTCTCAGATATTTCTGATTTAGGAGAATGAGAATTTTAATCATCATTTTTTCAAAGTGACTTTGCTTTTCTGGCTTATGGAGCAAATGTCAAGCTGCCTACCAAGGGATAATAATACGAGAAGTGCTCACTTTATTATCAATTACTTTCCACTTAAAACTAAAAAATGCTTTTAAAATACACTTTTATACTTTAACTATGTCAATGTTTAGCATTCACACAGATTAACACAAGTACAGATGTTTTTGGCAGAGAAGTTAAATTGATAACCAGAGAGCAAATGAGCCAATTACCATATAAAATAAGATTTGCAATGGAAGATTATGTGTTCTGTTACCAAACAGACAATTAAACTTAAAAGAAGACTCGGCAGCTCAGCCCACTCTTCTATCCCTCTTAATGTTAGCATGCAAACAACAACTATTTAAATTGCAAGATGCTTGCACAGAATTTCACATGCACTGTGGTACCCTTAGAGAGTCCCTACCAAAAAGTATCTTCCACCCTTTTGTAGATTTAAAAGACAAAAAGTTCTGATCACAACAGTGATCAAAAAAAGAAAAAACCCTAAACTACATCAGCCGTTGATTTAAATGCCTAAGCTAAACCCAGTAAAGGTCAAATATTTCAAAAACAGTATGTTTTTTTAAGCTAACAGTTGTAAAATGATGGGAAGAGCCAAGGAACTGCACATATGCAAGAGGATCTGCACCGAAGTGGAAACAGGAACAGATGCTGGGCATGGACCCTGTTCCACGAGCACAGGTGATCAGAAGAAAATGGAAACAATTGCCCCAGCTCTCTGCTCCTCCATCTCTTCAGGTATAAGAGTGGCAAAGGCAACATGCTGCCATACAGGACTGAAGCTCTACTCTTCTTCATCCCTGTGCACCAGCACAAGCCAACAGGATGAATTCACAAAGAATGTGTTCCTAAGCGTTGGCTTAGGAACCACATTGTCTGTGTGTTGGTTTTTAAATGCTCAAGGATTAGAAATATTTGAATAGTTATGTGGAGAACATTAAAGCAGCATCATTTATTCTGAACTTTACAGAACAACAGTTTCTTCAAATGTCTTTTCAGTGGTCAGTAGCTCTTGCCTGTTCTCATTAAAAGAGAAAT